AATTCCAAGAGACTTTTACATGAGCGAGACGAGAAGTATGACAGAAACACACATCAGAGACGGGAAGTATAACAAACACACATCAGAGATGGGAAGTATGACAGAAACACACATCAGAGACGGGAAGTATGATAGAAACACACATCAGAGACGGAAATTATGATAGAAACACACATCACAGACGGGAAGTATGACAAACACATATCAGAGACGGGAAGTAGATAGAAAAACACATCAGAGACGGGAAGTATGACAGAAACACACATCAGAGGCGGGAAGTATGATAGAAACACATATCAGAGACGAGAAGTATGACAGAAACACACATCAGAGACGGGAAGTAGATAGAAACACACATCAGAGACGGGAAGTATGACAGAAACACACATCAGAGACGGGAAGTATGATAAAAACACACATCAGAGACGGGAAGTATGATAGAAACACACATCAGAGACGGGAAGTATGACAGAAACACACATCAGAGACGGGAAGTATGACAAACACACATCAGCGACGAGAAGTATAACAAACACACATCAGAGACGGGAAGTATGACAGAAACACACATCAGAGACGGGAAGTATGATAAACACACATCAGAGACGGGAAGTATGACAGAAACACACATCAGAGGCGGGAAGTATGATAAACACACATCAGAGACGGGAAGTATGACAAACACACATCAGAGACGGGAAGTATGATAGAAACACACATCAGAGACGGGAAGTATGATAAACACACATCAGAGACGGGAAGTATGACAGAAACACACATCAGAGGCGGGAAGTATGATAGAAACACATATCAGAGACGGGAAGTATGACAGAAACACACATCAGAGACGGGAAGTATGACAGAAACACACATCAGAGACGGGAAGTATAATAGAAATATACATCAGAGACGGGAAGTATGACAGAAACACACATCAGAGACGGGAAGTATGACAAACACACATCAGAGACGGGAAGTATGACAGAAACACACATCAGAGACGGGAAGTATGATAAACACACATCAGAGACGGGAAGTATGACAAACACACATCAGAGACGGAAGTATGATAGAAACACACATCAGAGGAGGGAAGTATGACAGAAAGACACACAATCAGAGCGGGAAGTATGATAAAAACACACACATTCAGAGACGGGAAAGTATGACAGAGAAACACACATCAGAGGCGGGAAGTTTGATGAAATCACATATCAGAGACGGGAAGTAATGACAAACACACATCAGAGCGAGGAAGTATGACAGAAAAACCAACACATCAGCAGAGACGGGAAGTATAGATAGAAAAAACACATCAGAGACGGGAAGTATATAGTGAAATATACATCAAGAGACGGGGAAGTATGACAAGAAACTCACAATCAGAGACGGAGAAGTATGGACAAAAACACATCAGAGAGGGGAGTATGACTCAAACCACAGAGACGGGATGACAAAACACATCAGAGGACGGGAAGCATGACTGAAACGCACTCAGAGACGGGAAGTTTGACCAGAAACAGAACATCAGAGACGGGAAGAGATTCAAAGAAAACAACATCAGAGACGGGAGTATAACAGAAAAAACACACATCAGCGACGGGTAGTAATAACAGGACCACACAAATCTCAGCGACGGGAAGTATACAGAAACACACATTCAGAGACGGGAAGTATGATTAGAAACACCCAATCAGGAGCGGGAGTATGACAGAACACACACCATCAGAGACGGGAAGTATGATAGAAAACCACATCAGAGACGGGGAAGTATGACTGAAACACACAATCAGAGACGGGAAGTATGATAGAAACACACATCACAGAGCGGAAGTATGATAGAAACACTACACAGAGAGGGAAGTATGACAGAAACACACATCAGAGACAGGAACGGGAAAAGATAGAGACAAGAAACACCACTTCAGAGACGGGGAGTATGATAGAAACACTCATCAGAGACGGGAAAGTATGACAGAAACAATACATCAGAGATCGGGAATTATGCCAAACACACTAAGAGACCGGATGACAATAAACACATGACAGAGACGGGGTAGTATGACAGAAACACACATCTCAGAGACGGGAGTATAAGACAAGAACACTGACATCAGGAGACGGGGTAGAATAAACACACATCAGAGACAGGATGTATAACAGGCCAGGAGCTAAACTTGAAGGTTTTTTTCTCAGCTAATTCCTCCCTTAACATGTGACTGGATTGCTCAGTATGATTTCACATGATAAATCAAGTGGATGAAATTTTGAAGAGAGAGTTGCCTTTTTTTTTTTCATTACACATTTGTTTTTTTAGTTATATACTTTCCAATAATGCCACTAGAAAATAAGAAAGAAGGGGGGGACCACGAACAGGCCTACTGGCCATGCGAAGGCATGTTTTAATTTTTTTTTTTTTTACCTTTTTTTTTTTTCCATAGGTGACTGCTTAATTCTATGTAAGAGGCATTACAGACTTTATTTCGTTTTTCACGTTTGTCTCAGCGCTCCATCATCCACTGCTTGATTTTCATCCATTTTATCTAGGAAAGTCAAGAAAACTAGACATATTTCGGTGGCTGGGCCATCCAAGGAAGGTAACGCATCATCCCAACACCCTGTACCTCAATGTACGTCATTGGAATAGTGCATTGTGCGGCATAACTTTGTGATGTAATTAAATATTAGCATTAAAGACAAAGAGGATCTAAAGAAGTATTCACTAATCATGTGGAAACTAATATTCATTTTTCTTTAATAAAAATGGTAAATGAGGATATAACAGAGACCAATATCCTAAAATACACAAGCACATTTACTTTGAAGCCGATCAAAGTTGCATTAACAAACTATTATTGTGGAAGGATTGAAGGTAATTGGATGAGACATTAAGAAACTATCGCCTGAAAAGTGTATTCCATTTTTCCAAAATTCTTCCATGAGAAATAAACTTTTCTCTGGGTAGGATTAACTAAAGTTTAAGTAATTAAGTATCAAGTTTTATTTAAGCGTTGGTTGGACACAAATTTTTAAAGCCCATGAACGTTATACACACATAAAGTACATTATGTAGACTTAACCTAGTATAACCCAGTAAAGTCAAACATCGACTTATTTCTGATCAGAAGAGACAATCTCCGGTTATTTCACAGAAACCAAGTTCATTAATATAACTGTCACATTATAACTTACACAGCCTAACAACAGAATGCTTTTCTTAAGAAAAATACGTCATCGCTAACAATTTTTAAGTTGACCAGATGACGCATACTCCAACTATTGTACAAAATTTAACAAAATTTACACCTACACAGCCTATAACCCCCCCACTCAAACAAATGTTTCATTCATTTCAAACGACACATCAGTCATTTAAGATTGATGCCGTAAACGTGTGTGTTGCAGAGGTGTGAGCACAGCTCACACCTCTGCAACACAATGGTCCTCAAATATTTGTTAAGTTATACCATGAATTAAGGAAAGATCCTGGACTTCACCTTAAATAACAAAGCAAATGCGATAGTAATTATGGACAAGGTAGATTATAGTGGAAAATAAGCATATTATTGGAAGACAAGGGCACTTAGATGCCCCTCAAGCCAATGACTTAAAACGATCAGTAATTATCACATAAAATCAGTATTTCAGCTGCCCCAATTTCTTGTAAAAACAGGCAAATTGGGACCTAAACAGTCCAAAATCAATCCAAAGGAATAAGTAATTAAACAAGCAAGTAATTGTCATTTATGTTAGGTAAAAGAACACCTGTGCAACTAATGCCACAATAAAATGTTGCAATAGTTGCACACGTGTCCCGTAGTTCGGTTGGTAGCGCACTCAGTTCATACACTGAGGTCCATGGTTCAATCCTTGGTACGAGTGGAAATATTGGGCGTGTTTCCTTAAGACACCTGCTGTCTCTTTTCACCTAGGAGCAAGTAGGTACCTGGGTGTTAGCCGATTGATGTGGGTCGTGTCCTGGGGACAAAATTAACATACGTTACCCGAATTACTCTTCATAACCAGTGGCTTTCTACATAATGTGTCACTGATATCGGCTTTGATCTGTATAAGTTGTATCGTGCACTTGTAAAAATATTGTTATTATTACATTGTCGGTAATTCTTCCATTATTACAATTGTCAATTAAGCTTCGGGAACTTAGCATACCATTTTTTACTACAATGGAGAGAAAAAATAATATTAGGATAACCCAATAAAGTCAAACTCAGACTTTTTTCTGTTCAGAAGATACATTATCCAATTATTTCAAGGAAATTAATCTATTTAATAAAATTGGTGTATTAAAAATTACACAAGTAAAATCAACACAGCCTGACAGCGACTAAGCGAAGCATCTACAGTTAAGGTCAGAATAAGAAAAAGACCGCACCTACACAGCCTTAACCCAGAAAGTTTCATATATTTCATAAATTCATCGCCCATTAAAGAATGATGCCGTTCAGAAACGTGAAGTCAATGCGACTTCACATTCAATATGACCAACAGTAAACCCGTAACGCCGCATGCAAAGCTCTCAATACCTGTTGCCCGTGTTCAGCAGGAAATGCGAGTGTTAGTTATAATAGGAAAGAAGACCCCAATGACTAGAAGTAAGGTTAATAACACTTATGAGTTCAATTAAAGTAATAATATTTTCTTCTTAAGATACTACTACTATTGCCTGTTGACTGTGATGAAACCTAAGTCGGTCCATAGACCCTGATATGTTCCATAAACACGTGCTGCCAGCTACTCAAGAATTCAACTAACACAAGACTTAGCAAGCGCACCCTGCCCCTTTCTGTTTCTCCAGTCCACCCCAGCGTGCTCAGCTGCTGGGTTTAGCTGGCACTATCTCTACGATTGAAAAAGTCCTCTCCAACCTATTCTTCGCTTGTCCATCTTCCCGCTCACCCCACAAGTCTTACCTAAACGGGTCTTATCCAATACGTGGGGTTTACAAAAAATTTCCCAAAAACCAGAGATTTTGTAAGTGTGGCCTGTTGGTCTAGTGGTATGATTCTCGCTTAGGGTGCGAGAGGCCCCGGGTTTTAACTCCCGGACAGGCCCTCCTCAACTTTTAAAAAACAGAAAATACCTGGTGACCAAATATCGTAAATGAGCGGAAATGGTGGTGTAGGAGTGTCATTCCTTTTTGGTGTTACCTTTCCCTGTACACAATTAACTGGGTAATAGTCCCCCGTGGCCCAGTCCTAGATCAGGGATTTTTTTCCAAATTTAAGTCCGAGCCAAGCCGCCAGATCTCTTTGCTTAGAGAAACTTTCAGGTTCTTCCAAACCAGTGAAACATACTCTGCGTAGTTAAAAAGTTATGTACGAGCAAGCTGTTAGTCAGCAGAGGTGTGTTATTCTTGCTGAGAGTATGACAGGCTCAGAGTCAACTATCGAACAGTCCTAAATCATTATTTAAAGAAACTGTACGTGTGAGGATGAAAGTGTAGCCATTGATACGAAACATGAGAGAGGCCTCTTGAACTTTGTAATTTTTCAGTCTACTCGAGAGAGGTCTTGAGTTTAATTCCAAGAGACTTTTACATGAGCGAGACGTGAAAAGTATGACAGAAACCCACACATCAGCGACGGGAAGTATAACAAACACACATCAGAGGCGGGAAGGTTATGACAGAGAAAACACACATCACGACGGGAAGTATGACCAAAAACACAACATCAGAGGAGGGAAAGTATGATAGAAACACAATCAGAGACGGGAGTATGACAGAAACACACATCAGAGACGGGAAAAGTAAGTATGACAGAAAACACACATCAGAGACGGGAAGAAGTATGACATGAAACACACATCTCAGAGACGTGGAAGTATGACAGCAAAACCACACATCACAGAAACGGGAAGTAGATAGAAAGAAACACACATCAGAGACGGGAAGTTTTGTATGACAGGAAACACCATCAGAAGACGGGAAGTATGACAGAAAACACACATCAGTCGCTGGGAAGTATGATGAAAACACATCAGAGACGGGAATTATGATAGAAAACACAGCAGACGGGAAGATGATAGAAACACACATCAGAGACGGGAAGTATGACAAACACACAATCAGAGACGGGAAGTATGACAAAAACACATCAGAGACGGGAAGTATGACAGAAACACACATCAGAGACGGGAAGTATGACAAACACATCAGAGACGGGGATGACAAAACACATCACAGACGGGAAAGAAGCATGTACAGAAAACGCACATCAGAGAGGGGAAGGGAAGTATGGCGACAGAAACACAACATCAGAGACGGGGAAGTATATCAAACAACATCAGGCGGAGAAGTATACAAACACACATCAGCGACGGGGAAAGTATAACAAACTCACATCAGGCGACGGGGAAGTATAACAGAAACACACCATCAGAGTACGGGAAGTATAACAGAAACACACATCAGAAGAACGGGGAAGTATGATAGAAACACATCAGAGACGGAAAGTATGACAAAACACACATCAGAGGGGAAGTATGATAGAAACACACATCAAGGCGGGGAAGTATGACAGAAACAACACATCAGAGACGGGAGTATGACAGAAAAACAAAGAGACGGGAAAGGAGTATGACAGGAAACACACATCAGGAGAACGGGAAGTATGACAGGAAAACCACACATCAGAGACGGGGAAAGTATGATAGAAACACACATCAGAGACGGGTAAGTATGACAGAAACCACATCAGAGACGGGAAGTATGACAGAAACACCATCAGAGACGGTAAAGTATGAGATTAGGAAACACATATCAGAGGTACGGGAAAGTAAGTATGACAGAAACACACATCAGAGACGGGAAGTATGATGAAACACACATAGAGACGGGAAAAAGGTATGACAGAAGAAGAAACACACATCAGAGACGGGAAAATGTATGACCAGAAAACACACTATCAGAGACGGGGAAAAGTATGTAGGAAAACACATCAGAGACGGGAAGTTATGACAGAAACACACATCAGAGACGGGAATAAGTTTGTAGAAACACACATCAGAGACGGGAAAGTATGACAGAAACGCACATAGAGACGGAAATGTAGGTATGACCAGAAACACACATCAGAGAGGGACATAGAAGTGAAACGAACCCTCCCCCCCCCCCCCCCCCACCCTACACCCCCCTATGACGGGAAGTCATGAATAACCAGAAACACATCACAGAGACCGGATGACAAACACAACATCAGAGACGGGAAGATACAGAAACACACATCAGAGAGAGACGGGAAAAGTATAACAGAAACACACATCAGAGACGGGATGTATAACAGAAACACACATCAGAGAGGGAAGTATAACAGAACACCACATCAGAGACGGGAAAAGTATGACAGAAAGAAGAAACACACATCAGGAGAAGGGAAGTTGATAGAAACACACATCAGAGACGGGGAAGAATGACGAAACACACATTATCAGAGACCGGATGACAAACACACATCAGAGACGGGAAGTAAAACAGAAACACACTTCAGAGACGGGAAGTAATGATAGGAAAACACACATCAGAGGACGGGAAGTATGACAGAAAACACACAACAGGCCAGGGTGCTAAACTTGAAAGGTTTTTTCTCAGCTAATTCCTCCCTTAACAGTGACTGGGATTGCTCATTAAGATTTCACATGTAATCAAGTGGGATGAAATTTTTTGAAGGTTTCCTTTTTTTATTTTCTAACACATATGCTTTTCTTTATTTTTATAGTCAATAATTGACAAGAACAGAAGAAAGAAGGAACACTGCAACAGGCGACTGGGCCCATGCGAGGCATGCTCTTTTTATTTTTTTTTTACTTTCCATAGGTGACTGCTTAACTTCTTGTAAGAGGCATTACAGACTTTATTTAGTTTTTCACGTTTGTCTCAGCGCTCCATCATCCACTGCTTGATTTTCATCCATTTTATCTAAGAAGTCAAGGAAAATAGACGTATTCGGTTGGCTGGGCCATCCATGGAAGGTAACCGCCATCATCCAACACTCTGTACATCAATGTACGTCATTGAATAGTGCATTGTGCGGCAAAATTTGTGATTTAATTAAATATTAGCAATTAAAGACAAAGAGGATCGAAAGTATGCACTAATCATGTGGAAACTATATCATTTTTCTTTAATAAAAATGGTAAATGAGGATTATAACAGGAGACCCCAATATCTCCCTAAAATACACAAGCACATTTAGTTGAAGCCGATCAAAAGTTGCTTAACAAAATTGTGGAAGGATTGAAGGTAATTGATGCGACATTAAGAAAACTATCGCCTGATCAAAGTAGTATTCCGTTTTTCCAAAATTCTTCCATAAAAAATAAACTTTTCTCTGGGGGTAGGATTAACTAAGTTTTTTTATAGTATTAAGTATCAGTTTTATTGAAGATTGGTTGGGACACAAATTTTTAAAAGCCCATGAACGTTATTCCACACACCAAAAAGTACATTTGATAGTTTACCTAGTATAAACCAGTTAAGTCCAAACATCGGACTTACTTTGACCAGAAGAGAATCTCCAGTTATTTCACGAAGGAAGAACCAAGTAATTCATTAATATAACTGTCACATTATAACTTACACAGCCTAACACCAGAATGCTTTTCTTAGAAAAATACGTCATCGCTAACAATTTTTTTAAGTTACCAGATGACACATACTCCAAATATTGTACAAAATTTAACCAAAATTTACACCAAACCAGCCGATAACCACCCCACTCAAACAAATGTTTCATTTTTCATTTTTCAAAAACGACACATCAGCATTTAAGATTGATGCCGTAAACGTGTGTGTTGCAGAGGTGTGAGCTGTGCTCACACCTCTGCAACACAATGGTCACTCAAATATTTGTTAAGTTATACCATTGAAATTAAGGAAGATCCTTGGACTTCACCTTAAATAACGCTAAGCAAATGCGATAGTATTATGGACAAGGTAGATTATAGTGGGAATATCGTATAATAGAAGCATATTATTGGAAAGACAAGGGCACTTAGATGCCCCTTCAAGCCAAATGACTTAAAACGATCAGTAATTTCACTAAAATCAGTATTTCAGCTGCCCTCCATTTCTTGTAAAAAAAATACAGGCAAATTGGGAACCTAAACAGTCCAAATCAATCAAAAGGAATAGTAAATTAAACAAGCCAAGTAATTGTCATTTATGTTAGGTTAAAAGAACACCTGTGCAAACTAATGCCCACATTAAATGTTGCAATCAGTCGCCACACGTGGTGGCCCGTAGTTCGGTTGGTTAGCGCACTCTAGTTCATACACATGAGGTCCATGGTTCCAATCCTTGTACGAGTGGAATATTGGGCGTGTTTTTCCTTAAGACACCTGCTGTCTCTTTTCACCTAGGAGCAAGTAGGTACCTGGGTGTTAGCCGATTGATGTGGGTCGTGTCCTGGGGACAAAATTAACATACGTTACCCGAATTACTCTTCATAACCAGTGGCTTTCTACATAATGTGTCACTGATATCGGCTTTGATCTGTAAAAATATTGTTATTATTACATTGTCGGTAATTCTTCCATTATTACAATTGTCAAATTAGCTTTCGGAACTTAGCATACCTTATTTTACTACCAATGGAGAGAAAAAAATAATATTAGGATACCCAATAGTTCAAACTCTGACTTTTTTTCTGTTCAGAAGATACATTATCCAATTATTTTCAAAGGAAACTAATCGATTTAATGAAATTGGTGTATTAAAATTACACAAGTAAAATCAACACAGCTGTCAGCGACTAAGCGAAGCATCTTACAGTTAGGTCAGAATATGAAAAGACCGCACCTAACAGCCTTAACCAGAAAAGTTTCATTATATTTTCATAAAATCATCGCCCAATTAAAGAATGATGCCGTCAGAAACGTTGAAGTCAATGCGACTTCACCTTCAATATGACCAACAGGAAAACCGTAAACGTAACGCCCGCATGCAAAGCTCTCAATACCTGTTTGCCCGTTGATCAGCAGGAAATGCGAGTGTTAGTTATAATAGGATAAGACTAAGACCCCAATGACAAGAAGTAAGGTTAATAAACAACTTA